AAAAAATTAAAAATCATATGATACTTCGTTAAATTAATTTAAATTAACATATAAAATATTTTTATTTTAAATGAGTATAAAAATTTAGAGGACACTAAAAGAAAATAAATTAATAATTTTATTATGTTTATCCTATTAATTTTTATCATTTTATTCCTCTAATTTTAAATAAGTTGCAAAAAATTATAAAGTGACACTTAAATATTTCTTCAGATAGAAAGAGAAAAAGGAAAAATTATCACTCTATTTATAAGACAATTGTATTTTATAAAAATAAGTAATTTTAAAATTTTTACCATAAAAAATATTTTTCAAAATTATTATATTTTTTAATAAAATTAATATAGAATATTCTATTGTCTTTACACGTTCTGGAATGGGCTGTTCTAAATCCAGAACGACCCGTTCTAGTTTCAGAACAGGCTGTTCTGATGTGCTGGTGGTGTGTTAAATTTGCATCTGGAACGACCCGTTTCATATGCAAAATTAACACACCAATAGTGCACCTAGAACGACCCGTTCTGGTTTCAGGTTTCAGAATGGACCGTTCTGGTTCCAGGTGTTTTCAAGGAATTTGGCATCCACGTAGCATCCACCCATGCATCTACGTGGCAAACAATTAACTCCGTTTAAATAATTTAGACGGAAGTCCTTAATTGAAATCAATTAATTTATTAGGGACCAAATTGAGACCAAAAATAAAAGTGGGACTAAATTGAAACAAACAATTATTATAAAGGACCAAAATAAGTTTTTAGCCTAAATTCTTTCTCTAACGTATTTTTATCTCTCTCCTATTAAATTCATTCATTAACTCATTTCTCCCTCATCTCTCATGATGTTTCCCCCCTCTCTCTCTGAACAAATAAAAATTAATTAATAGAAAAAAGAAATGACTTAATGAATGAAATTAATAAGAGAGAGAAAATATTTAATTTTCTTTTAAAATAAAATAAAATTACTATAATATCCTTTGTACGAATTAACCAAATTAAAAGAAATGACTGGTTTTTTTGTCCTAAACTTTTGGTGTTGGTTGCTAACATACTCCCACTAAAAAATAGGTGGGAGTATATTAGCATTCCCCTTTTAATTAATTCTATCGAAATTAATTTAACTCTAAAATAAGCTGATCTAAATCCAAGTATGAATGGAGGTACACTAAACACAAGTTGTATTATCTCCTATGTCAATTCTATGCACGTTATATGTCCACTTATATACACGTGGTGTGATCTCATTTGAATATCTTATAAATATTGAATACTTTTTAATTTTTAACAGAACCCATACCCTCAATTTCTGCATCTGACTTGTGCACCCATTTCAGTGAACAAATGTCAAAATAAGAATCATAGTCAAGTCACAAAGTTCATGGGTCAAAACAAGCACATACAATTAGAATAGAAGCAAAACACTCGATAAAATTTCTTGAATAGAAAATTCACTCTTTACATAGTGAAGAAACCAAACAAATTTGTTGATAGCTGAAGCTTTGGCTTCGCTCTCGTTATCCTAAACCTCAATTACCACAACAACCATTTAGATTTATACTGATCTGTACACATAAACTGTTTTTCTTTGTTTTCAGGCCAAAAGAAACCTTCCACAACAAACAAAAACTCCCCAATATTCATTCTACAACATTACACGAGCAATGTGTGAGTAACCCCTTTCGTCTCTATGCCTCACTTTGATTTCTTCTGCACACCTTAGAGTCCTCTCAATGTAGTATCCTCCCCCAATGCTAACTTCCCTCTCTAAATGGCAACAATAGCTCTCAAAAACACTCACATTTACGTGCAATTTGAAACCCATCAAGAAAAGGAATTCCAGCTCCAACTTGTTCAGCTCATTGGTTGTTAACCCACCAACTCTTCCAAAGTAGGAATTTCTGTAGTTCCTGTCAAACAAAACAGAAAACCATATTAGTAACACATCATTCCCTGAATTTCAATCCAAGCTAGTTCGATAGTTGAGAAATTGACGCATTAGCAGACACGAGCAACACAGACCAAATTAAAATCTTGGTACCCTTAAAAAAAATTGTCCCTCTCCTCAGTTGTTAGCAAGTAATGTCAACCATTGACATTGACATAAACAAAGTGTTATTATTATTTTTTTTTTTCTCTTTTCAATTTAACAAACCCCAATTTATTAAATTATTTACAAGCAGAAATCATAACAAGTAAAAAAAAAACAAGGCAGAACTGAATGCAGGACTCATGTGACTTAAGAAAGTAGTCATGGGCATTTTACTCAAATTTTTACTTATATACAATATTATGGTCCTATGACTCATCGATGCGGGGTCTGCAACAATATATGAACAAGGATCGAGAAGAGAACTTACATGTCTTCGACATACTTGGAAGCCAGCATGATTGTTGTAATGAGAAGTCTATGAACATTTCTGGCATTGATTCTGAATCCTGGATTGTTCTGGCAAAACCTATCAATGTAGACATAGGCCACAACATAGACCGATGGTCCTGCACGTGTGTACCTGAAAATTCTCTCTAGATAGGATTGAATTGTCATGTCTGGGATCTCCCTGCAATCAAAGATGTTTGTGCTAATGGCCTTGGACAAAGACGAGGAACCATTCTTCAGGATCCTCTCTGTTCTGGCCATGCTCCTCTCAATCAGTGAAGCCAGAACATTTATCACCAATGGGGTGCTGGAATTCTCCTCGTATGAATACGAGTACAAATCGGAGCAAAGCTTTCGTGGGGAAATTGTGAGAGAAGAAGAAGAAGAAGCCATGAATTGAAAGGGAAAGTTGGTTCCTTTGTTTTTCAAGCCTTTGAAAGGGATTGGTCTAAGGGCACCAAGTGATGATGGTGGGTTTTGAATATAGTGTGGAAAGGTTTTCCAAGTAGGCTTTATATATAAATTGCAAAATAGAGAGTCGGCAATGGAATGAGTGGGGAAGGAGGAAAAACTATTGAGCATGAATATAATTTTTTTAATTTTTAAGAAAAAAACTAATATCACTCAATAAATTAAATAAAAAATTATGTGGTTTAGAACTATCTAATTAATAATTAAGGAACTTGGGTTGGAGGGGTGAATAAAGAAAGAGACAAATTACACGGATTTTGGTGACTTGGAAGGTGAGTGGAAGCTTGAATAGAAAGATAATAAAATAAGATTCATAAGATATTATTAGATACATACTAGTGTGTGTGGGTGGCCTTTGTGAAGGCAAAGTACAAATGAAACCAGCTAAGCGTTTTGCATAATAACTGGGGGAGGAAGGAAAAATAAAAATAAAATAAAAAGAAATGCACACTTTGTGTCCTTGAAAGTTGAAACTGAGGTATCGCCGACAGTGTGGTGAAGGGTAAAATGGGGAAATGAAGTTGAAGTGGAGAATTCATGGGTGGCAGGTTAGTTGGACCCACAAATTTAGAGGGCATTTAAGCATTGACCCTTGCCTTCGAGATTTGTGCTGTTTCAGAGTCTCAACTCCCAACTATGAGCACGACTACACAAGTGTTGGAGTTGAGGTATTTGGATCTGAATCAGAAGAAAATAAAAAAGAAAAAAAGAAAAAAGAAAACAGAAAAAAAGTGAAGTACCTGGATAGTGGATACTACCACACGTGCATGGGGCTTGACTCTTCTTAGATTGTACAATCTTGGTTTTGCAACTTGCAGCCGTACCACGTGCACCTTATTGCATTCTACTTCCTTCTTGTTTCCTTGCATTACTTTTTTTGTAGATAAAAAATAATAATAATAATTATTATTTATTTGGTTTTATACTTTTATAATATTTATTCACTTAGATTTCTATGTAAAGATTTTTTTATTCCTTTTTATCCCAAGCCGTTAAATAAAATTTAATGTTGTTAGGAGATGACATGATGCATCTATATACATTGATTTTTATTTTTATTTTTCTTATAATTGTATTATTTTTAACTTTCGATTCTTGTACTTACTTAATCTTTATGTTTTAGTCTTTACAAATACAGATTACATAATTTTTTTTTGTTTTTTAATATGTATAAACATTTACCCTTATTCTTTTTTTTTCTTCTTTTTCCCTCTTTTTTTTCCTTCTCTTATTTTTCTTCATCAACATCTTTTACGTTCAGTCTAAGGACAAGGTTAAAAAAGTCTTTGTCTTAAGTTTTTTTTTTTAATTATATTAATATTTATATAAATTTTTTTTTTACATATTTCATAACTTAAAAGTCACTTTTTACATCCTTAAAAATTCACTTTAAATAAAAATATAATTATTTATTTTAAGTCCCATATTTTTAATTTTTTTATGAAAATATGTTATTGTTAATTTTAAAAAAATCTAACTTTAAGATTTGCTTTAAATATAATAATATGTTGGGTTGGTCCTAATATCTCCTTTTATCTTTCAAGTTTTGTCTATTTAAATCTCTTTACATCAACTAATTTTTATTGACCCTAAATAAGAAAGTCTTGATGATGGAGCCTTCATGTGGAACACTCCATGATTCTTGCACAAAAGAAACTTCTCCGCGGATCCTTGAGATTGGCGCAAGGATTAGAAGCAAAGTGGGGAAGCAATGTGACCAAAGATGAACCACAAATCTCGGATAGAAGTAGGAGGTCCTAATTCTACAAAGAGAAAGGCTCAAGGTGATTTGGAGAAGAGTTTCTCCTTAGGTGACTTCGGTGAGAGAAAAGATTCAAGAATGAATTTCTCATATATGCCAAAGTGATTACATAAGGATGAAGGTGTCAATATATAGGCCGAATAAGCAAGCAAGTGGTGCCTAAATTCAAAGGACCATCTTTGGCACCGATATTTGAATTTCAAATGGCATTTGAAATTCAAATTTTGGTATAAAATGTGATATTACGACATTCATGGATAATAGACTCATCTAAGATGAATTTGCGAATAATTTGATGTGTATTTAGGGTGCACATGTTCAGTTCATACAAGTTTAAAACATGTGACCTAAATTCATGTCGAATGACACCTTAATGAAACTTAGATTTAGCCTAAATGACTTAATATTGAAAACCTTCTAAATTCCTAATCTAATGGCCTAAATACAATGGCCAATCAAATAAAATATAAAGGAAAAATTACAAGGATTAAAATGACCCCAATATTGGGTACCAAAAGCCCAAAGGCCCGTGAAAGCCCAAAACTAGGCCCAATAGGCCTATGGTCCAAAATGTTATTCTATGTGGTCCAAAATACAAGACCAACATATATGAAACTTATACTAATATAAAACAATGAATACATCAATGTATGGCCCATGTGAAACTCATATTGGGCCTTCAAAGCCCATCGGGCTCATTGGGCCTTAACTGGCCCAAACCTCCATGCCTAGCCCATTCCTCTTGGATCTTTTAGAGTGTCACCTCTTGCCTTCCTAGGCATGATTCCATCACTTGAGATAGCAAAATTCAGACATGTTTGTTGGGCAAACAAGATAGGTTACGAGTAGTGATTTGTATTGTCATGCTTGGTAGTGATGGTGACTTGATGCACATTTTTATAAATCAATGATCTAGTTAGTCTAAACCTCACATTGGATCATATATGCCATCAACTCGCTAAGAACCTACCGATTTTCTAGTCAAACCAATGAACTAATGAGTTTTTAGTTGAACATGTCAGGTAGACTGAAAAATTTAAGCAAAATGTCCTTAAAAGTGTATAAAGTGAGATTCAACCAGAGACCATTCTCATCTATATGTAAATGTCTTACCATTGAGACAAATAATTTCTTGTTGTTATTTGCAAAAAATATAATATATATACTGTGGAAGAAAATATGCACAAATGTTTTGATGATACCAAAGTGATTATAAAGCATTGAAGAAGAATCAAGGATGAGCTAAAGCAAGTTGAAGCAAGAACAAGATCTCAATTGGTACATAGATAAGTCTTGTCAACTTTGCTAAGTATGTAAAAGAATCTTTCGAAATTGCAAGTATGCTTGGCCTTGAGAATAAGTTTTAAAAAATCTCAAATTAATCTCTTTAAGTTTAAACAAGTTTTAAATCTTTTGAAAGTAAGTAAAAATGTTTTCAAAAGACTTAACAAAAGCTTTAAAGAATAGTTCAAATCATTTCTTAAAAGAGATTTGTGAAAGAAATTATTGAGATGAAGTTTTCTACATAAAAGTTTTTGAAACAATAAAAATATGTTCTGGTAATCCATTACCAGACCTTGTAATCCATTACCAGAACAGGAAATTTCAAAGTTCAAATTCTGAATACAAAATGTGTTCTGGTAATCGATTACCAGACCCTTGTAATCGATTACCAGAAGATAAAACTTCAAAATTTGAATTTAAATTATACAACGTTTCAATCATTTTGAACTTTAACCGTTGTAATCGATTACCAAGTCTTGTAATCGATTACCAGAGCCTATTTTCTGAAAAATTATAGAAAGTTACAACTCTTCATGAAAAGACATAACCTAAGAAACAATTGTCTATAAATACCTATAATTTTTCAGAGAAAGGTGACGAACTCTATTGTGAAAATAATCTTTACAAATCACTTGGCCAAAATCATTTGCAAAATCTCTAAAGAGTTCATCAAAGATCATGAAAGTGTAATATCCACTCTTCAAGAGAGTTATTCTGTAATACTTAATAGATCATTGGATCTGTAAAGGAGAAAGGGTTTTTCTCCTTGTTGGTGTTTGAATCTCAACACAAGGAAAGGGAGTTCCGAGGTGTTGGAGGATTCATTTTCTTGTAAGGTTTACAAGAGTAGTGGAAATCTCAAGTGGGAGACTTGAGGACTGGATGTAGGCAGGATTGGCCGAACCAGTATAAAATCAAGTTTGCAATTCTTCTTTCCCTACACTTTTAATTTCTTGTTATTAATTATAATTGTGTAGTTTGCATCATCATTCATTCTTTACATACAAATTTGTCTAAGGAAATAAATTGATTAAGAAGTAATTGGAAAAGTTTTTATAAGAGGAAATTTAGTAAACTTAATTCACCCCCCCTCTTAAGTTAATTGAGGCTAAGGGACTAACAATTGGTATCAGAGCCAAGGTCATGAGTTCGATACCCAGCGGGGAAATTGCTGAGGGGGAGATTGTTGCGGGTTGCATCAATTGTCCTGTGGCGGAGGCTAGGTGGGTCAAGTCACTGTCGAATCATGGCGCTTGGGCTGCTGCGCTCTTAAGTAAAAAGAGTTGCGCCCTGACTATCAGCTATAGCTTTTGGCCTAGTGGTAAGCGCTCGATCCAACATATACTATATTAAATTATATTTTATTTAAAGATAGGATAAAGACATAAATGAATGCAATTACTTAACACCTTAGCTAAGGACCACTAAATTAACATCTCCTATCAATATATAATTGACTTAAATAATTTATAGAGCATATTTTTAATTTAAAATTATATGTTTAATTATATATTAATTTATGCAGTTCAATGAACTTATAAAAAATTTGGTTGTTCTGTTATTAATATATTGACTATTGTTTTTTTATAGACTTCTTTAAGACAAGATATAAATTTTATTGATATTTATAATTATAAAATATATGTGTCATGAATATTTTTTTTTTAAAATTAATGGAGACCAAATTATACAGCTCAATTAGTGATCTATCGATTCGACCTACGCATGGCAACAGGTACCCATCCCCGTCTCCGGCGAGGTTCGGGTTTCACCGCCCTGCCCCCGCCCTCGCTCCTACCTATTTTTTTTCTTTTATTTCTTTTTTATTTTAAATAAATATGAATAAATTTAAAAAAATAAAAGACAAGTAAAATAATACAAATTTTTACATATAAATATTTCTAATTTTGGTTTATATATATAAAAATAATTTTTTAATTATATTATTAAGAGGGGCGGGTATGGGGGCGGGGGCGGGGCGAGTATTAACATTCCCT